TTTGTAATTCACCCTGAAAAGTCTGTCCTACTTCCGACACAGATTATAACTTTCCTTGGGTTTGTTCTCAGCTCTATTTTGATGCAGGTTTCACTGACTCCAGACAGAGCTCTAAAACTAAAAGATGCATGTGAAAATCTGCTCGCTACTGTCTCCCCTTCTATAAGGAATGTGGCTCAAGTACTTGGGCTTATGACCTCTAGTTTTCCAGGGGTGATGTATGGCCCATTACACCATAAGTTTCTTGAAATGGACAAAACGCGAGCTCTAAAACTACACAAAGGGAATTTTGATAACAACATGGACTTATCCCAGGAAGCCATAATTGACCTAAAATGGTATATAACCTTATCAACCATGGAGACCCCCAGGTTACTATGACAACAGATGCTTCTCTGATTGGATGGGGATGCTGTATTGATACAGTCACCTCTGGAGGGAATTGGTCTCTAGAAGAAGCACAGCATGACATTAATTATTTGGAAATGCTTGCTGTTTCCCTTGCCTTGAAATCTTTCTCANTGGAGGGAATTGGTCTCCAGAAGAAGCACAGCATGACATTAATTATTTGGAAATGCTTGCTGTTTCCCTTGCCTTGAAATCTTTCTCAAGTGTAGTCCAGGGTAAACATGTGAAACTCCTAGTTGATAACACTACTGCAGTTACGACCATTAACCAAACGCGCACATGCCATTCTCGAGTAAACAATCAACTTTCACGCCAAATCTGGCTGTGGTGCATAGACCATAGCGTTTGGCTATCAGTTGCACATATTCCTGGTAAACAAAATACTGAGGCAGATAGAGAATCACGGCTGCCCCGGAAGGAAACAGAATGGACTTTACAGAAGCCAATTTTTGATGCTGCTACTAAAAAATTAGGCGTGACTCCTAATGTGGATTTGTTTGCCTCTAGATTGAATTTCCAGTCAAAGCCCTATGTTGCATAACAGCCTGACCCAGAGGCCCATGCCATCAATGCCTTTCCCATCTCCTGGAAGGGGTATACCTTTTATGCATTCCCCCCATTTAGTGTCATACAGCGGGTATATTACAAAAGATTTCTGACGAGGAAGTCACAGGCTTACTAGTAGTTTCACACTGGCCAACTCAGACTTGGTGGCCATATTTAATGAATATGCTCATTGATTTTCCTATCATGCTACCTAGGAAGGAAGAGACACTGTACCTACCGGCACATCCCCACCTGCTGCACCCACTACACAAGAAACTTCAACTACTGGTCTGCCACTTGTCAGGGATCTCCTTACAAGCAGAGGAATTTCGGCTGGGGCTGCAAAGATCATCATGCAATCCTGGCGAACGGGTA